TTAGTTATGGTTTATCATTAGCCTGTTTCTCAAACTGTAGACCAGTATCCAGGACTTATTTCTAAGGATTCCATAGCGTTACTGGAGTGGAGCCCCAAATGACTACCTTTCCTCTTTCAAACTTGCCTGAGTCCATCATCGCCCCGAGAATCTCTTCCTGGTTTCCAAGAGTGGAAATGAGAAAACATTTTCCAGTGCAGTGATCCTGCTCCCGCAGGAAGGCTCACGGTACAGAGCAATGCGGGCGATAGAGTACGCAGAGCCGGCCGTGCACGGAAGGCCCAGCCGCAGGAGCCTGAGCAGACTCCCCTCACTTTCCCCGCTGCATTGCCCTGGCAACCCTGAACTCTGTCCTTCGCTTTGCACACAGCTCAAAACGTGCCTCCTTACCTCACTAGCTTCCGTTCCCTCTCACGAAGAGCCCTCTTCAGTCCCACGATCTATAGACCCCGGTAGTGTCACTTTCTTCTGTACTGCTCAAAGCGAATGGTGGCTATCTGGTTGCTTGGTTGCGTTGCTGGAAAAGCTAGGACCAAGCGATGGAGACTGTGTATGTTCCACAGAAACTGGAGGAGGAAACTCAACTGCTTCTTATTTATTTTGCAGATACCTTGGGTACTACTTGGGTAACTTTCTGATATCTGCTAATACGTTCTTCATGGTCGACCAAAGGGTCATCATTTACGTCATGTTGGACGACTTTTCTTATATGCCACTGATAAGTCTGAATCGTCTCCGGACGTATAAAATTTTTAAAGTTAAGCGAGAGAGGAGGTGGCAGGACATCAGTATGATGCGCATGAAGATCATCAGTGAACACATCGCTGATCACATCCAGCATGAAGTGGACTACGTCTTCTGCATGGATGTGGATCAAATATTCAAAGGCAGCTATGGTCTGGAGACCCTGGGCGAGTCCGTAGCTCAGTTACACACCTACTGGTATAAGGAAAGTCCGAACAAGGTGCCTTTTGAGAGAAATGAGGCGTCCGAAGCTCATATACCGCTGGGGCAGGGGGATTTTTATTACCACGCTGCTGTCTTTGGAGGTACAGCCACTCAGGTTCTCAAGATTACTACGGAGTGTGCCCAAAGAATTATGAATGATAAGAAAAATAATATCGAAGCAGTCTGGCATGATGAAAGCCACTTGAATAAGTATTTCTTTCTTCATAAACCCACGAAAATCTTGTCACCAGAATTTTGCTGGGATTTACGTAAGGATAAGACTCCTGATATTAAGGCTGTTAAGCTCTCTTGGAATTCTAAGCATTATGAATTTCTTAGAGAGGAAGTATAGTCCCCTCGCCCTTGCCTCATATTTCTGAATTGAAGAGTATCAGTTTCCTGGGAAAATGAGCACCTGGCATATTTTCACGATAAAAATCCGTTACCAAATGGCAAGCCCACCAACAGCGAAGTCACCTTCGGCTCACCTCCGTGTTGAGTGATGCAATAAGGGACAGAGCGGTCACAGGGTGAGTCCACTGGAAGCAGACGGAGAGGCGGTAATTTCGCATTGTGCGAACGCTGCAAACATAGTGTGCTAGCTCATGATGGAACAGAATAGATCCTGGAACTAGAAAAGGAAACGAAATATCCGAGCTGATGAGAACCCACGGTCTTGTGGCTGCTTTCTTCAGGGATGTCGTCACTGCTATATTGAATCAGGGAAGCTGTGGTCATTTTTGAAGCCCTCACAAGATAGGGTCCATCAACATTCCCTCATGGGAGGAGGGGAGGGCTCATGAGATTCATGAGGCTCCTCCATGCCCCCCAAAGATACATAAATGGTTAATGGTTTCTGGAAAAGAAAGAAGCTTTTTGTGAATGTAACTAGACAATAAATTGTCCATGATCTTTAAGTAATAGCAATAAACTCTTTGATTCACTAAGGTAGACTGGAATAGAATAATTTCTTTAATTGATTGCTATTTCCTTTATCTGGGATGAATTATAAGCACACTTCCCAGGAAAAGCCTTGTAACACTTGGTACCTTCATAGAAACAACAGAACCAAAGATGAGTCTTGGAGGTGCAGTTGTGTGGCCCGTTACAATGGTTAACACATACAGCTGAGGCTGAACCGTCTGATGGTGGAGTGTCTTCAGGAACTGTTCTGAAGGAATACTTCCATGGGGCATGTGGTATGTGGTGGGAGGCCTTCTTGCTATACTGGCTACTATATAAACCCTGCTATGGGTAATGAGACTTGCAATTGAGGCTGAGGAGGAGTGTCCGTGATGGGGGATTCCAGAGTGGACATCTTTATGTGATACAGAATGGTGTGACCTTTGATAAATGGAGTATGCTATGAAAATAAGGGGATGCCCCAAAAGAGGCTAATGGGCTAAAGAATGTATTGAGATCCCTGAAAATAGCACACTTTGGATGAGGGTATGAGCATGCTCTGGCAGCAATGCCATGGCCTCTGCTGTGGGGACAAGACAGGTGCTGAGGCTGAGCTGTCTGCCTGGAAAGAACTTGCCTGCAAAGAGAAATCACGGTAGGAAAAGGGCTCGAAGATGCTGTGCTCTGCCTCAGCTTCTAGGGTTGGTCAGTAAATGTGGAGAGGAGAGAGGACAGAGGTGAGGAGACCCCAACGTCGGATATTTATTATTTGTTTGTTTGTTTAGTATGTGTGTGTGTATGTGAGGGGGGAGGGGGGAGAAAGAGACACAGAGAGACAGAGAATGCATGCAATGCAATGTACATGTGCAGGAGCCTGTTCTCTCCCCCCACAGTGAGTTTCAGAACTAAAACTCAGGCTGCCAAGCTGTGGCCAGCATTTTTAGTTCTTAGTCTGTCTCAACAGCCCACATCTACCTTTTAACACAGAGAAAGGAAATATCCAGAGCTCAGTTTTAGTAAAATAATATTAAGAGCTACACTATTCAGGATCTGGGTATTTAAAAGAAGGGGTTTCCAGGCTAAGTTTGGTTACCAAGATGACGGACTCTATCTCACATATAAACTCCAGGAGCTCGCTCTGCGGGTTCATGTGACAGAGTAGCAGAGAAGCAGTTACTCCAGCACGGCAGGCGGGATGTCTGGCGATTGAAAGCCAACACATAATTCTATTTGTGAATAAGAAATGCCTTACTCATAGGAAGGAGTGAGATGTGTCTGGAGCAGGTGTCATGGGATGACCTCCAAAGTGAAAGGAACAAGCGTATGTTTCATATGCTGACACTTGTAGTCCTCTATTGAATAAAAGAAGCCATGTGTTGAAAACATACGTACCTGTATGGACAAAGAGAAAATATTAGAACAAACCACATGAAGCCCATATCAGTGTCTGGTACTGAGGTAGAGGATCAGGTGCTAAGCAGAACGACCCAGTGTGAGTCAAATCTCCTTTTTTCTTTTTCTTAACATTTATATATATATATATATATATATATATATTTTTTAATTTATTTATTAAGGATTTCTGCCTCCTCCCCGCCACCGCCTCCCATTTCCCTCCCCCTCCCCCGATCAAGTCCCCCTCCCTCATCAGCTCAAAGAGCAATCAGGGTTCCCTGACCTGTGGGAAGTCCAAGGACCACCCACCTCCATCCAGGTGTAGTAAGGTGAGCATCCAAACTGCCTAGGCTCCCCCAAAGCCAGTACGTGCAGTAGGATCACCGGACAGAAATCTCCTTTTTTCTATTGGAATTATTTAGCATGTGCACATGTACTTGTATCTCTTTCAGGGACAAAACAAGATTGGTTTTAAAGGTGAAGGGAAAATAAAGGTCCTTGTCGTCTCACATTACACATGGCTGTCTTAGTGAGTGTGATAGCATCACTGCATTTACCATCTTTTCCTTGTGCTTTCTTGCTCCTTAGTGACCCGAAACTGTGTTATTTCTACAGTCGTGAAAGGAAGCACCATGAAACATCCTGAAATACAATGAGGTGGAACCAGCTCTGCCTTAGATGACAATGTCGAAAAACATGTCTTCCATTCACACACATCATTCAAAATGCATGTCCTTAAGTAAAAATCATTTATAAAGAAAGACAAGAAAAACAGCAAAGGAAATTCAAATCAGATTTCTTTTAAAAACCTAAGTTTTTCAGATGAGACAAGGTTCTATTTTTATTTGTCACAAGGACAACATGTTACCTCGGGTGTCATTGTGACAGCAACTTCTAGTGCTCCCATCATCAAAAGAACTTGGCGACATCACCAGGACGAGAAGGGGCGGCAACAGGAGGGATCACTCAGTACCTGACTCGGGGTTTTGTTTTGTTTTTCTACCGTTCTTCTTTACATGATCAAAACTAAAGGTAAAGTGACTGTAAAGAAAGGAGGGCACGAGGTTTTAGATCATCATGGTGAAGTCACAGCTGCCTCTGATTCCCAAGTGCAGGTCTAAGAACTATATTATACGGAACAGTTGTTGGCGGAGGTTTCTGTCCTGCCCGGTTCCCGCAGCCATTCAGTCCCAAAGAAACACACAGAGGTCTACATTATTATAAACTGGTTTGCCTAGTAGCTCAGGCTTCTTATTAATTACTTCTTACATCTTAAACTAGCCCATTATTCTTGGATATGTTAGCCATGAGGCTTGGTACCTTTATCTGTGAAGCCTTCTCGTATTGCTTCCTCTGTGGCTGGGTCACTACTGCAGACTGACTTCCTTTTTCCCATAATTCTCGTTGCCCCACCTCTACTTCCTGCCTGGTCACCCCGCATATACTTCCTGCCTGGCTACTGACCAATCAGCATTTACTTAAAATACAAGTGACAGGGTACAGACCATTGTCCCACATCACTCCTCCCCACTTTTTAAAACAAGAACTCTGAATCAAATCTCCTTTGTTTAGCTTTTCTACTGACCATTATCCATAACAAACAATAGGTGGTATATCAATGTATTCCTGACTTTGGAGAATAATGTCATTACAGGCTCGTAGACAGGAAGTCACTTGGCTAAATGAGCCACAGTCTTTTACTTCACACAAACTTTGTCCCAACTGACCTTGAATTTAAATAGTGACCATTCCACATGGCTGTTGGCACGTCGAGTTGTGCCCAGGATCTACAAAAGAACTTTCCAACAGGAATGTAAGTCATGTTTGTCGCCTTGAATATTTGAGGGGATACATTATAATGAGGTGAAAATATTCAGTCAAATATTTTCTTCAATCCATGTTTTCAAAATTTCATTTCAACTGTGATCAATATTAAAAAAAAAAAGTCCTAAATCCCTGCCCTCTCCAAGGTCTCTGTCCAACCCTGGTATCCTGGCACTTATTATACAGCCCAACCAGGCTGGCCTCAGACTCACAAGACCTCCCAGCTCTGTATCCCAAGTGTTTAAAGGTGTGTGTACACTACACATACCTTTTTTGTTGTTCACACTGTACCTTTTAGACCATGAGTGATTCGCATACTCACTGCTCGTTTGACTGGTGGCTGCTGTGTTAAAAGCTACACACCTAAAACTCTTTGTTCATCATATAAATGTTCAAAAAATTAAGCCTTTGTGTTGCTCCAGTACCGAAAGGCAAGACCAGTACTCCTGAATGATGCCTGCCAAAGCCCAGTTTGTGTACACAGCGCATCAGTGAGGGCTCGGTGCCTTTATTTAGACGTTCCCTGCTTATGAGGACATACCTAGGAGACAGTGAATATACTGTGAAGTGATTAGTTCTGAGGTCTTTGAACCTTTTTTTGGCTTTACTATCTTTGCGATATACTTTGACAGTAGAGTAATCAGGATTCAGACACTGAAGTTGGTGGCCAAATTTCTACAAATATACTTATTGGAAGACACTAAAGAAACTTTTTTTTAAATCTTTAACTGAAATCTCTTTTTCTTCTCTTTTTTTGTTCTTTATTTTTTAGGAGGGAATGAATTGTAAAAGAGAAATGCTGTCACTTATCTTCCTTGCTTTATTGCTGGTGTTATCTAAGTATCACCCCAGGTAAATATGAAACCCTGGTGAATCTCAGCCATCAAGGATTGATGTAGCTGACCTAAAATGCCGTGCTTTTACCCAGGGACATTCAAGATCTAGATTCCCTTGCCACAGGAGTTACAGAAGGTTGTGAAGCCACCATGTAAAAGTTGGGAACAAAAACCCGGGTCCTGGGAAAGTGCCCTTAACTGCCGGGCCAGCTCTCATATTTTACTCCCAAGGCACTCGCTTACGGAAACATTCTCTGAGCTGGGCATGGTGGCGCACACCTTTAATCCCAGCACTCAGGAGGCAGAGGCAGGCAGATCTCTGTGAGTCTGAGGCCAGCCTGGTCTATAAAGCAAGTTCCAGGACAGCCAGGGCCACACAGGAAAAACCCTGTCTTGAAAAAAGAAAAGAAAAACAAACACAAACCTACATACTCTGTTAACTTTACATTAGCTTGGAATTCAGTTCAGTCTCTGCATCTCTGTGAGTCTGCCTCCTCAGTCCATTACACAGAAACACCTTTTACAGTGGCTGCTCGTTTAAATATTTTAATAAAAAAAAAATCAAAGTTCTGATCATTGTGGATAAGACTAAAATAGCAGCTTGCTAGAGGAACAAGGTCATACTAGAGAAATGTGGTAACATCCCCTCACACAGAAAAACGTAAATTCGCATCTCCTTCGTGTCCATAGTTTAAGGGGCACAAGGATACCAAGGCTGTCTGGAAAGCAGCTGCATGGGGGAGGGATGTCTTTAAAGTCAACCCTATTGCTTTGGCACCCTAAGCTCCATTCATTTGCCCTCCAGAGTTATGGTTAAAATACAGTGAGAGAAGAGCCGGGCGGTGGTGGCGCACGCCTTTAATCCCAGCACTTGGGAGGCAGAGGTAGGCGGATCTCTGTGAGTTCGAGACCAGCCTGGTCTACAAGAGCTAGTTCCGGGACAGGCTCCAAAACCACAGAGAAACCCTGTCTCGAAAAACCAAAAAAAAAAAAAAAAATACAGTGAGAGTTGGGGCATTGGTGGGTTGGTGGGGAGAGGGCCGCAGGAGGTGACAGAATACACCTTGCAGAGAGAGCTTGAGTGTGGAGTTTGTTGAGAAGACAGTATTGGGAGGGGAGAGAAGGGAGGGAGAGACACAGATACAGAGAGAGAGAGAGGAAGGAGGAGAGAAGGAGGCTGAGGCCTGCTCACCTTGGTATTGTATTTAATGAAGGAGATCACAGCCAGGCATCTAGTCTTATTGTTGTCTTTTTAAAGACAGTACTGGCCCACAAGCTACTAGCATGCCTGCATTTGCTACAGATTTCATTTCTGCAACCTTAAGTCTGGCATAGAGTGCGTGTTTAATGTGTACAAACAGGTGGGAGGAGGAATTTCAACTATAGAGGTTTTTTGCCATTTTCATTCTTTAGAAGCATTTTTTTCCAATTTAAAACTAATTTGGCTTTTTTTCTTAAAGAGTAAAGGATCACCTGCAGAAGATGTACGTCTGCTGGTAAGTGTCTGTCTGCAACTATTCTAAAAATGATGGAGGGAGAAGCAGATCCTAGCAGAGATGCTCTACAGAGAAGAGCGCCTTTGCCACAGACTTAAATTTAAGCAACCCTGTCCAGTCCAGCATTTGCCTTCGGCTTCTCTAGAAGGTCACAGCACCCTGCTTGGTTCCTACCATTCACGACCCTGTCGGAGCCCATGACTAGGAAGTCAACTCTCCCAAGGGTGGATTCCTTTTTTTACCTTACAGGCTCTTTGCATATATATCATGACTTGCGGTTTTGTTTTTCTGAGATCCCTGTGTGTGCAAAAGTGTCTGTGTCTAAATGTATTTCCTGTGCTTTTTCTTTGTTGGTTTTCCTTCTGTCTGCTTGTCTTGTGCTATTCCGATTTGTTTGTTTCTGTTTTATTTATTATTGTTGTTTAGGGCCTGTTTGTTTTCTAAACAGAGACCAAAAGGGTGTGAACCCGGATGAGAGGGGATTTGGGGGGGAACTCAGGAGTTGGGGGAGGGGAACTGTAATCAGAACATACTGCATGGGGAAAAAAATCTATTTACTTTATTGGGGTATTTTGGTTTGGTTGGTTGGTTGGCTTTGGTTTTTTGAGACAGGGTTTCTCTAGCCTTAGCTATCTTGGAACTTGCTCTGTAGACCAGGGTGGACTTGAGCTCAGAGATCCGCCTGCCTCTGCCTCCCAAGTGCTGAGATTGAAAGTGTACACCACCACCACCCAGCCTAAAATCTATTTTCAATAAAAGAAAAATAGAAAAAGTAATCTCAAGGCCATGTTGCTTAAAAATATATTTAGTTAACTTGATATAAAAACAAAACAAAACAAAAACAAAAACCAGACTTCTCTGTCAGTACACATTTTACTGAAGTTAGGCAAATCTAATGTGGATGTTGGAAGAATGCCTTCCTGGGAAATTATATGATGAAATATCTCTGGCTAAAGAGGACTCCGAAAATAACAGGATGCCCTCTTTATGATCTTCCACTTTATTACAAAGTAACTCTGGCTCACAAGCAGCCTCATAGAAATCACGTCTTCCTTTCTCCTGACCTTTCACCTGACCTTCATCCCATGAATGCCAGTGTCACAGCTACAGGACTGTACTCAAAATCTGGAAATCGGCACTAAGACAAGGTGCATATACAGTTCTGCATCTTTATCATGTATAGAGATTCACACAAGCACAGCATCAGTCAAGATATACCTCTCTCCCATCACCACAAATCTCCTGCTCCAGAGCCTGCTTAACCCCGGTCCCACTGCTAATCATTTTTCCATCTCCAACATTTTGTCATTTTGAGAGTTTTATGTAGAAGCCGCTCCTACAAAGTCAAGTAGGGTTCCTGGAAAAAGGCATCGTCGAGCCCAGAGGAAAGTCAGGGGAAAGGAACAGAAGACAGGATGAATCAGGAGGTCATCTGGTCATCATCAAACAGCCAACAGCCCCGAGTTTATTTCAGAACTTGCTTATATGTAAAAGCAGAACAAAGCACAGCACAGACGGTCAGTCAGTGTCTAACCACAAGACCATTCCTGTCCTTGAGTGAGCGGCCTCCTCTCCAACACGTGCTTGTGCTGCTCGGACGCAGCCTTGCTTTCTATCTTGAGGCTCCTGAGGTCTGTCGTCAGCAGTGTACTGTCTACTAGAGAGTGTTCTTTTCCCACGGGCTAAGTCAGAAGTCCCTCACAGCCCTCAAAGTTATAGGAAAAAGTAGAGCAAGCAAGCTTGAACTCAAATGACTTCTTTAAGTCAGAAATGACTCCAGATGGAAAGTGAGTCACACGTGGGCTCCCACAGTTTTATAAACAGAGTCACAAAAGATATGCTCTACTGATCAGAGCTTCTGTCACCCAGCATGGTGCCCTTGAAATCCAAGTGGGCTGTTTGCCAGCAGTCTACACCTGTTGACAAATACATATTTCATACATGAACACATCAAAGTTTGTCAGAGACGTTTCAATTAACTAGCTTTTTTTCATAAGTAACTTGGAAAATATTGTGCCATTTCCTTTTGGCCTCTGTGGTTCCTCATGAGAAAATCACTTCCTGATTTTTTTTTCTTCGCTAGGTGAAGGGTCATTTCTCTCTGCCTTCTTTCAAGATATTTTTCTTTAGTTTTCAGTTCAATTAGATTCTTAAATCTGATTCTCTTTTGCCGTACTAGGAGAGATTTCAGTCTTTTTTTTTTTTTTAATTACTATTGCTATGATGAAACACGGTGACCAAAAGCGACTTGAAGAGGAAAGGGTTTATTTGGCTCACACTTCCACATTATTGTTCATCCCTGCAGGAAGTCAGGGCAGAAACTCAAACAGGGCAGGAACCTGGAGGAGCCAATGCAGAGGCCACTGAGAGGAGCTACTTACCAGCTTGCCCCCCAGGGCTTGCTCAGCGCCTTTCTAATAGAATGCAGGACCATCAGCCCAGGGATGGCACCACCCACAGTGGGCTGGGCCCTCCCACTTCAATCACTAATTAAGAAAATGCCTGATCTTCTGGAGGCATTTTCTTAACTGGACGCCCTCGTCTCAGATGGTTCTGGCCTGTGTCAAGTTGAGGAAAACTCAGCGCCCCTGTTTTGGTTCCATCTCCTCTGTCTCCCCTTGACTTCAGTCACACAAGTGTTGCCTTTGTTATGGGCCACTCCATCTCTTCACTTTTCTCTTCTGCTTTTAGTTTTTGTCTCTGTTGTTCAAGCTGAGTAATTTCTGTTACCCTGACTTACAATTTGCTGGGTCTTTCTTTGTCCTCTCTACCCTGTTGCTGAGCCCACCCTGCTCTGAGCCCTCCCACTGAGTTGTCTCTACCCCCCCCCATCCTGCTGCTGAGCCCTCCCACTGAGTTGTCTCTACCCCCCCCCACCCTGCTCTGAGCCCTCCCACTGAGTTGTCTCTACCCCCCCACCCTGCTCTGAGCCCTCCCACTGAGTTGTCTCTACCCCCCCCACCCTGCTCTGAGCCCTCCCACTGAGTTGTCTCTACCCCCCCCCACCCTGCTGCTGAGCCCTCCCACTGAGTTGTCTCTACCCCCCCACCCTGCTCTGAGCCCTCCCACTGAGTTGTCTCTACCCCCCCCACCCTGCTCTGAGCCCTCCCACTGAGTTGTCTCCATTTGATGCTATTGATAAGATTTCCTATTTGTTTCTTTGCACCAAACTGTGCTTGTCACATCAGAGAACTGACTCCTGAGTCTCTCTTTGTACCTAGGAATGATCTTTTGGAAGAACCTCAGCTCTCAGCCTGGTTTAATCCAAAGTAAGAACAAAACAATAATGAAATTCAATTTGAAGAAAATGCTATTCTGTTATCAAACTGTAGGTACTCCAAACACTAGCACCAAGTCTCATTTTTGTTTCTAAGATTTTTTACTTTTAAGATTTTTTTTATCTGTTTATAGTCTACTTTTCAAAAATAATGCAGTTGAGGAAGTTGTCCTATTCAATCTCGCCTAACATTCCTGGTACTATTTGGGAGAAAACATCTTGAGGTACAACCAAAAGATGCCAATATTGACTCCTCTAAATTTTAATTTATTATCCCCATAATTAGCAAATTAATTATATAAATAAGTAGATTTCAACGTGACATTCCCTGTTTGTATATATATTGTTTTGCTAGTGTCAATTCTCCTTACTACCCTCATCTGGCATTTACACTCTGGGGAGACCATTATTCTCTTATAACGACTGTGTAATGTTATGTTTATATAGTATGAACATGTTTATAAAATGTTTGTAATGCATTTATGCATTTCACTGACATTCTGTGATATTTGCCATCTAGGGGCTATTATAGGCCAACAAATATGTGCACGTGAGCGTGCGTGCGTGTGTGCGTGCATGTGTGCGTGTGTGGCGCGTGTGTGCGCATGTGTGTATGTGCATGCGTGTGTGCGTGCCTGTGTGCGTGTGTGTGTGCGCGCACATGTGTGCGTGCATGGTGCGTGTATGTGAGTGTGTGTGTGTATGTGTGTATGTGCATGCGTGTGTGTGTGCGTGCGTGTGTGCGTGCATGGTGCGTGTGTGTGAGTGCGTGTGTGTATGTGTGTGTGATGGAAGAGTGTGGGTTTCTCACGTGGAGTCACTCACTGTTTTAAAAGCTCAGAGCCTGGGAAGTTGGTTCTGTGCGGTTAAGGGGATGCTGCATACGCGTGAGTACCAGCGTTTGGCTCTCCAGCATTCACACAAATATCGGGTGTGTATGGTGCCTGTTGCCCCTGTGCTCAGAAAGTGAAGATGGGGATCCCTGGAGAAAGCTGGCTAGCTAATCTCGCCTAATTGGTAAGTGCTGGATTCAAGTAAGAGACAGACTCAACACATAAGGTGGAGGTAGCTGAGGAGGACACCCTTGTCCATCTCTAGCCTCTACATGACATACACAGACATACCCCACATATGTGTAAACATGCATCCACATCACACACACATACTAAAGCAAGAATAAGAACAGCTAACTAGGAGCTACAGTGATGACCCAGCATTATCAGTGCTTCTTGCTCTTGCAGAGGCCTGGGACTGAGCCCCAGCACCTACATGCTGCTCACAGCCACATGTAACTCCAGTTCCAGGAACCCATGCCCTTTTTTAGGGTTCTAAGCATGCATGTGTTACTCATATATACATGTAGACAAAACACTCACACTTAGAAAATAAAAATAAGTAACTAAAGGATACAAATTTAAATTTCAATTTAGGGTACTCAATGACGTTGAATTAGTATACCGTTTATTTTCCAATCTATAGTGGGTGGAGTGGGTAAATACTAGTAACGTTTTACTTATTTTATGTACTTACTTAACATTAGTTTTGTAATATCAAATATTTCATTCTTGACTGTGTCCACACCCAGGCCTAGAGGAGCAAGGGGAGGAGATCAGGGATTGCCAGAACTGTAGAAGAGGAGCTGTCCCAAGCAGTAATCACAGAGGGACATGGCTGTCTGAGAAAACTGGAAGATAGGGGACCTGACCTTTCACCCTTCCTGCCTTCTGGTCCTTCGTTGGTCCTCTCATTTGTAGAACCTACTAGAAGTCCCAGATCAAAGGACTCTGGGTAAACCAATCTCCTCCCAGAGCAGAGAAGGGATGAGGATGGATAAAAACCATAATAAATGGAAAACGGCTAGCACAACCCTGTCCCTCTACAAACCGGTGCTGTTTCTCTTGTATGAAAAAGCTCATGTCCCCAAACAGGATAAACATAAAGTCCCACCGATTGCATCATCACAGGATGATGACAGTGCAGTCTCATTAGCCATCACCAATGCTCATCCTACAAAGCAGTAGAGAAAGAGGAGCAGTCATTAGGGAGACGGATAATAAACAGAAGCAGATGACAATCAGGCTTCCTCTTCCTCTCCTGACAACTGTTGCTCACTGTCCTGACGCCTCCTCTCACGGCGACCCTGAGCCCTCGGTGGCGCAGCCATGTTGAGGTGCCACAGTTGCCCGTGGAATCATTAATTCTTATTGGAAATGAGAATAATAGAGAGAATCCCAGTGAAGTTTGCTGTGTTCTGTGGACGGCACTTATCCTTGCTGTCATTTTTGCAGTAGCAGCTTGTATTTCCTTGGTAATGAGGATTATTTGTCCAGTAAGGATGTTAATGACATATTTACCTTTTAATTCAACAGTTAAGAAAACTTGAAAACCTGTAAGTGGTTTTATAGGACCATGTCTTTATTCCCTGAAGAAGGGATTCCTTCCTTGTGAACTAGGATTTCCCAACCCATGGAATCTAAGATCATAAGTGCTACAAACATAGAGAGTCCACATTCTATAAATGAATTACCTACATAACCAAGAGGCAGACACCTTCCTATATCCACCTGCCCGTAAGGACTGTGCACTTCGGCTGTGGGAAACACGGCATCTGAAAGAACGGCTCCCCCATCGAGAACACTCTAGGGACAATACCTCAACCTCAGAGCGAAGTAGCTCTCAGCTTGCACTAAAAGGAAGACTTCTGTGGACTCTCCCACTCTCTGGTAGGCTAGCTACTTCTGGACAGACAGACATAGTGCGGACAGAGGTTGTGATGGGAATGAGCCAATCACCACACTTCCCCACAAAATTCACTGCTAAAGGTTAGGGCGATGTGTATGACATCGGACACTCAGTGCCTGCCTCGTTTCCTCACTACGGGGTGGCCACACTGTTTAGCCATGCATTATCCCCGTTGCTGTGGCTGGGGCCCTCTGTGCACACATTCACTAAGGCAGCACCAGGGTTGACTAGCGCAGGTGTCTTGATGGCATGCAGAGGACTCATGTGTCACTCACGAGCCACCAAGCCGCCTTGAACAGCACAGCTCTGGCCAGCAGCCCCTCTCAAAGTTTTGTGTTTAAGGACTCTTAAATATGAAAGCTTCACCTTTTCCTCTTGGTTTATGTTTTGTTAAACAATAATGTCGTCTTTTAAAATGTTAAGATGTCATTTTAATTGTGTGTGTGTGTGTGTGTGTGTGTGTGTGTGTGCATGTGAGTGTGCATGCTTGCAGAAGAATAGAAGGCCTGTTGGATCCTCTGGAGATGGAGTTACAGGCAATCCTCAGCAGCTCCACATGGATTCCAGTAACCAAATTTGAGTCTTCTGCAAGAGCAGGATACACTCTCAGCCCCTGAATTTGTGTGTGCGCACACACACACACATGCTCATAGGTAGGCATGTGTGTGTAGGCTAGTCAACGCTGGTGCTACCTTAGTGAATGTGTGCACAGAGTGGCCCCAGCCACAGGAATGGAGAGACACTGGATGTCCTCCTGTAACGCCATCCACCTTTTTGAGACAGGTTTTCTCACTGAACTTGGCTAGTCTGGCTAGCCCTTCCACCCTCAGGGTCCTCCTGACTCTCACCTCGCTGCTGGGTAAAGGCATGCACCATAATGCCCAGCTTAAAACACACACGCACACTCCACATGAGTTTGCCTGCATGAGTTTGTGTGTGCTCCTGGAACTGGAGCTACAGATGATTGGGAGCTACAATATGTGGGTGCTGGAAACTCATCCAGTGTCCCTCTGCAAGAGCAGCACTCTAGAGCCCTCCCTTCAGCCAGTGTCCAGTTCTCCGCATGGGTCCTGGGAGTTGAAATGCAGGACCTCGTGTTTGTACTGCAAGACTTTCCCACTTAGCTACCACCCATGCTAAGGATGGGCCTTTAAGAAAATCTTCCCCTTTCATTCTAGATAATAATAATAATCTGATTTATTGAGAAAAACAATAATCTTAAAATCTTTTCATCTTCTCAAATGGGTTCTATTTATATATCCTATATAAATAAATACTTAGTTAAAGAATCTTTAAAATAGTAGTGGTGTACTTTGGAAATGCCGTAGTAGAACACGTGCCTTGTATGCATGGAGTTCTGGGTTTAAACACCAACACTACCAGAAAACAAAATGAGATAAAACCAAAGATTAAAAAAAAAAAAACGCAATGGGCATGTGTAACCCATGTCCAGCACAGATTTTATCTACATAGATGTCATACTTAACTTACGTCTCATCACTGTGACAAAAAATGCCTTCAATCAGTTTTTTATTTGTTTTGCTTTGTTGTTCAAAGGAATCTCATGTAGCCCGCACTGGCCTCGAACTCACAACGTAGCTGAAGATGACCCTGAACTCCTGATCCCCTTGCCTCCATCTGCCAAGTGGGTGATCTAACCCAAGCACATGCTAGGCAAGTACTCCACCAACTGAACCACCTCAGTAGGTTAGTTTTAAAGTATATTTTCAAGTTTGATCTGAATATAAGTGTATGTCTATAAATTTTTGGTATCAGAAGACTTAAAAATAACTCTATAAATAAATGCATACATTAAAATATCCTTAAAATGGTAGTGGTGTCCTTTTAAAGAATTTTTTGTTATGGGATCTTTGTAACTATTATTACTATGCAAGTAAGGATTGCCAGGTTGTATCTTTGTGTAGATAAAGATTTGTACTTAAATTTATAATCTCTTTGTATTCAATGCCTTCTAAGATGCGTGTCTTAATGTGCTTTAATTTAGTGCCTTGGCTTCAGCAGGCTTTTTTTTTATTACTACAAATGCGTTTCTCTTTGTTTCAGTAGTCTCATTTTCTTCTATAGTGCATCTGTGTGCCTAAAGCATAAAGGAGAAGTTGAAAAGGGAATAGGGAAAAGTGTGCATGTGTGTGCACATATTTTTCCATTCGTGTACTTGTGTATGCAGGTGCATACAGAAGACAGAGATTGGTACTGAATTGTCTTCTTGTAGTTGTTTTGTGCTTTTGTTTTTGTTTTTTTAACTCTTTGAGGGCCCACCAACCAGCTCCCAAATAAATACACAGAGAGACTTATTCTTACTTATGAATGCCTAGCCTTGGCTTGGTTTGTTTCTAGCCAGCTTTTCTAGCTTAAATTATACTGTTTCTTTTTAACTACATTTTGCCCCTGGGCTTTTTTTTTTTTTTTTTTGATTTTTCGAGACAGGGTTTCTCTGTGGTTTTGGAGCCTGTCTTAGAACTAGCTCTTGTAGACCAGGCTGGTCTCGAACTCACAGAAATCCGCCTGCCTCTGCCTCCTGAGTGCTGGGGCCCCTGGGCTTTTTACCTTTCTTTATTCTATACACCTTTCTTTCCTTCTCACTCTATGACTGACTGTGTAGCTGTGTGGCCCCTGACATCCTCCTCTCCTTCTCCTTTTCTAGCTCCTCCCTCCTCTCTCGAGCCTAGATTTTTCCTCCTATATTCTCACTGCATGCCAGCCCTGTCTATTTCTCTCTCCTGCCTTGCTATTGACCATGCAGCTCTTTATTAGATGAATCGGGTGTTTTAGGCAGGCAAAGTAACACAGCTTCACAGGGTTAAGCAAATGCAACCTAAAAGAATGCAATGCATCCTTGCATCATTAAACAAATGTTCCACAGCATAGACAAATGTAACATATTTTCAATTAACATCCCACAACACCTTCTTCAGTCTGTTTCTACTTTATTTTATTAGACAGTTTCTCACTGAACATGGAAGTCACCGAGGGCGAGGCTGGGTGATCCCCCTGTCTCTACCTCTAGGTGTGCACCATGCCCAGATTTTTTGACATAGGTTCTAGGGACCCACATCCAGGTCCTCATGCTTTCATGGCACTTCATGAGCCATCTCCCCAGATCCACAGGGGGATACTCTAGATCTTCCTGGGGGGAAGGGAAGGGGAAAACCGGGAGGTTAAAGCATAGTAGAAACTTTACAAGCATTAGCTATTATCACTCTCATCATTTCAGATGGGATTTTTGTTCTTTTTTGTTCAACAGAAAACGTCCTGATGTTATAGCAACAACTGGTTGGCTCGCTCCGGTCATATGGGAAGGAACTTACGATAGACAAGTTCTAGACAAATATTATAAACGACTGAACATTACCATAGGCTTGGCTGTCCTTGCTACTGGAAAGTACGCACTACTGGTATTTGCCCTTCCCATTTTGAAGAAATAAGGATGAGCAGCCGCGGACTGTCTCTATCTTAAGCACTGCTTCCTATGAACCTGGCATTACTGCTGACTGCTCTGTGTAGCTGTGGACAGTGGGTTTGTTGTCGCTGCTGTTTCTTCCCCATTAGCAACCCTCCTTCCTTTTCTTCATAACAAACTGTCTTTTCTCAGGTTCCCAAGCTTATTATATTTTCTTTCACTAACCAATACAGCTGAAGGTACAGGGACAACCTCTCTCTTTATCTTCTTGGTATCAATGGCACACATCTCCCGGTGAACTCCAGTGAAATTGTCTTTCTCTTCATTTTGCATAGCCTTACAAGACAGTACCTGAGACACTTCCTAAAATCTGCTGATAAGTACTTCATGGTTGGCTACAACGTTATTTTTTACATCTCGACTGATAATATCTATGATATACCGTACGTAGAGCTGGGTCCTCTTCGGTCATTTAAAACATTGAGGCTGCCTGATGAAGATTACAACCAAGACCATACTCTCCGAAGCATGAAGAACATGAGAGATAAAATCATACAGGACATCCAATATGAGGTCAACTTTCTCTTCACTATGGCTGTGAACCAAATCTTCAAAAAAGATTTTGGAGTTGAAACTCTGGGCAAATCTGTAGCTCAACTCCATTCATGGTGGTATTTAAAAAACCCCGGAGAGTTCCCGTATGAGAGAAGAGTTAAGTCAGCAGCTTTTATCCCCTTTGGGAAGGGAGACTTCTATTACCACAGTGCCATTATTGGGGGCACACCCAAGAATGTTCTAGCTTTCATCAAAGAGTATCTAAAGGGAATTACAGATGACAGCACAAAGAAACTTGACAGCACATACGAAAGCCACCTAAATAAATATTTTTTAATCAATAAACCCACTAGGGTGTTATCACCAGAGTACAACTGGAATCCGAAACTTAAAACTCCTCCTCAAATCAAGCGCATTAAGATAGCATGGCGACCATGAATTACTTGATGTTGTGTCATAGAGTTTATGAATTCACAAATAAATAACATGAATTCGTCAAATATAAAACTTGGGACACTTACAAAAATGCATAATCTTCCAGAGTAAATTATCTGTCTTTGAAATTATAATTCTATTTCATCTGAGTAAAAATAAATGGACAAGTATTACTTACATGATGTAATGTTTTATATATGTGCTATAAAAACCGTGAGAATCATTTTTGGTGGTATAGACTTTTTTTTGAAAAAAATAGATTTTTTTAAATGAAAAATTCATACACATGTCAAATAGATACACATAAAGGAAGCTTAATATTCATCACTTTGCTTGTCTTGTCGCTGCTGTTGCTGTTGTTGCGATGTGTATTCCTCATGGCTGATCTCTCCTTGGTCAGTATTCAGTCTGCCTAGGGTTGAGTAAACTCAGGTGAACTGAAGACATCCTACCATAAATCTTGCTTCCATTGATAGTAATTCTGCATTTGTTTTTTGAAATTTTTATATATTATTCTATGTATATGGATGTCTTGCCTGTGTGTACGTCTGTAAGCTATGTGCCTGCCTAATGCCTTCTGAGGTCAGAAGAAGGCTTCGGGTTTCCTGGAACTACTTAACAGTCAGTGGTGAGCCGCCATGTGGGTCCTCTAACCACTGACCATCTTCAGCCTGGAGTTCATGGTTTTTAAAGATACAAAAGTGTGGTAGAATAAACTTTACATGGTCCCCAAGGAGCCTATAGTCTAACAAAGCAGATAGGATTATCCAAGAATATTTCTTTCACAAGTTTAAAAATTTATAAAAAGACATGACTAAAATGTAGTGACTCAGAAAGGGAGGAAGCCATCTCTGGGGACAGTGCCGTCATCTCGACTGGGTCATGATGAGGCTGTAGGTGTCGTCACGGTGCGGGTGTAGACATAGTGAGACACTATCTCATTACACTTACAAGAACTGGAGATTTGGTTGGGTCCGAGGGTTGTACAATGATAATGGGATAGACCACCAAAGTCTATGAACCCAGAAGCAAGAAAAAAATCACAATGGGCACACAACGCTTATCAGCTATAGCTTTGACCACAGTCAGAGATCAGGCTTCTGCAGCTGTTACCATGGGCTGGTTTGGGGCCTCCTCTTACAGTAAAATCAAGCACCAGGAGTGGGCCAAAGAGCTTTTACAACCTTGAAGTCAGGCTTAAAGTCACATTGCATTTTAAGTTTTACAGCTTTTGGTTAAAGGACATTAGACTGTTAACTTAGCCTGTTTGTGAAAGCCTGTGGCTGACACAGCCACTTTTCACTGTCCCTGTAAGGATGCAAGGCAGACAGTAGAGTCACATAGGGGACAGTTAAAAATGAAGGGAAACAAACAGAGGGTCCCATAGAGACAACAGTTAGACGCTAACCTTTGTCTGTGGCACCTGCCTGGCTGGGAAGCTGGGAGGCAGGAGACAATTGTTAAAAGTTTACCTCTGTCCACGTGGCTGCCAGGATGTCTGTTCTTAAGGCAGAAAGAGTTTGTTAAAAGTTCACAATGGCTGCCAGTTTTATTTATTTTTCTCCCAAAATGTGTTTGGGCTTACAACTTCTATTTCTATGTTCCTGGACTGGGCCCTTTATTTCTATTTTCTATTTCTGAACTCTCCATTTACAGTGGATTTATTTGTATCTCCTTTTATGGGAGAGAAGGGGGGATTTTCTGGTATTTAAATGGGAGTGTTAATGGAAATTGCTGGTGACTGAGGCAGAGAGAGCCATGATGGCCTGCAATGAGCCACTTCTTACATTACATATGTGCCGACCTACGATCATGGGCTGGATGGATTGAATGGCTTCCTATCAAGAGAACAGGGCTTGCCCCACTAGGACTAACCGATAGGATACTGTGCCTTCTGCCTACCACAGACCTCCTGTTGTCCTTGCCACAGCAAACCGCCATTTTGGAGAGGCCCTTGTGATGTGCCCACAGGCACTGTGTGGCCCACGGGCACTGATTGGCGCAGTGAAGCTATCCCAGAGCAGAGTACCTACCACACCCCACCTAGCAGGACCAGGCAGCCTCCACAGTAGCAGATAAAAGGAGCAGAGCCCAGTTGCACTACAGAGCCTCGGAGGCTTCAATCCCCCAAACAGGCCAAGAACTAGAAACCCATGTATATGATATGTTGGTGAAGTGTCACATGCTGTTTGATTTCACGGAGAAGCCAGCTCTGGAAGTGGGGTTGGCCCTTCTGTAGGGTAAAAAAAGGCCGAGGAAAACTACTCTGACCTGACTTGACCCCCAAGACCAGAGCCAACGAAAGAATACCTTGACTCGGCCTTGACCCCAAGGCCAGGGCCAAGGACTTGAAATCCCACCAATCCTGGAGCTTGCCCCAGTGTCAGGAAACAGAATCCCACCAATCCCGAGATCCCTCAACATGAAATCCCACCAATCCCTGAGCTTGCCCCCCCCCCCAATCAGGCCACAAAACCCCACCAATCCCAAACCACCCTGAGAAAGCCCCTCCCCTAAGGAACCCTATATAAGCTCTGTACCCTGTTTAGTTTCCTAAACCCTAGAGACAGCTACCCTCCTTGACTTTTTTTTCCCTCCCAGCAAATCTCTTGAGTGAGGTTTATTGTGCAGTGGGATGCTTCCCCAGAGCAGTTCCCAGCTGTAAGGGCTTTAGCAGGACTGTAGCACTGAGGAAATTTCCCCTGTAGGAACAGAGCTCTAACACCTTACTGGGTAACGATCCCCTGCCAGAACAGAGCTGTTACACTTGCATCAGGGACACCTTTCCCTGGAGCAGAGCTGCAATGCTTACAGTGGCTTTGTGGCAATCCTTGACTCTTGGCCTCCATCAGAGCGCCAACACCTGCATTTGGTGTTGTGTCTCGGTTAGGCTCTCCTAGCGCCTGCATTTCCCCTCGGGGTCTGAGCCGCACTGGGACCCCATCACTCATCTCCAGTCCACCTACAACAGACTCACCTTTCAGCTCACCAGTCACTCAGCACCCTGTCCACCAACAGCAACTAGGTAAGCTTCCCCTTTGGATGGTGTAAATGCTTCCCTGAATTTGAGGAAATGACCGTTGAGTGTCCAACACCCCTCTGGTACTCTTGGAGGTGGAGATAGCCCCAGGTACAGTCTTTAAGTCTACAGCTGGTACTCTTCACCTGACCCTATCTCACCACCCTTGGGAGCTGCAATCCTGCAATCCTTAGGTACGACTGGTCTATTGTGCCCCTTCCTACCCTCTTCTCCTGTCTTTTCTCTGGAGCTTCCTGTAATCCCACAGCTCCTCTAGGCCATTCCCAATCCTTTCTCATGGATGAGACCCTTCCTCCAAGAGCTCGGTTTTTATCTTTGCATGCTGACCTCTACGAAAGCCCTGCCTGAACTTCCCCAGTCAATGTATGCTGGACATTTGTGAGCCACCACTTGGATGAGGTTATCTGCCGCTGTTTGTTCTTTTTCTTGGAAGTCTCACCAGAGGGGAACTTTGACTCTGCCAGACTCTCTCTCTGGAACTGCATCTGGCTGCCTTAACAGGGCTTCCCAGTTGATTTCTGCTGCATGAATTTTGAGAACCCAACTTGATGGTGTTTTCCTATCAATCCATCCACCCTTGATATTTATTGTTTTATTTTGCGGATTTTTATATACTTAATAAACTAATTCTTCAAGACCAAAAGTATGACTGTGGTAGCTCGTTCTCCAAGTCATATAAAAGAATACATATTAGCAAGTAATCTCTAATGAGATGTAACCAAAAGAATGGACACACACATATACACACATGCGCACACACACATACACACATGTACACATGCACACACACAACTAAAGATGGACACTATAAAGTAATCCTACACTGTCTCAGAATTGAGTATAATAAAGGGTTATTTATTCAGGGATAGGCTCACAGATCACAGTCCTCGGCAGGAACCGAATCTAGCAGCAGCAGGAGAGAGAGAGAGAGAGAGAGAGAGAGAGAGAGAGAGCGAGAGAGCGAGCAAACTTTACGGCTGCATTTATGGCATAAGAGACCATGCCCAAGAGAGTGGGTATATTACAGGCTATTGGCTGAAGAAGTTCCCACAGCACCTCCCCCTTTTGTCTAAATAAGAGAGTTCTAAGTCTAATACAAAACTATATACAATAAGAACAAATATCAAATATAAAAATTAGAATTACAACCAGCATAAACAATATCAAGCAAGAAACAAATGCTAAATATTTCAATAATTACCCTATTCTAAGGAGTCTAAGCCTTGTATTAGAAATAGCTTGGTCAAGTCATGAGAGGAAAGTAACTACAACTATCAACCCCATTGAAGACCTGAAAAGGGAAATAATATTGAATAAAAGGAAGTGCAATCAAGCAACTTCCGAAAATGTGCAACAAATGACTGAGACAACTGGCCACCTGGGCAACCACCCAAAGTCTCATTTGCAACATTGGAGCAACTAGCTTTGGCTAAGACCCAGAGTAACTGACAGACCATTTTCAGAGACAGAAAATTTTCAAAACCATATTACCCTGTCTTGTCAAGAATTGATAGTCTTTTCTTCTTGTATCCTGCTTGTCCTGTGCAGACACCATGCATTTTCTCAGTGGTAGAGGCATGGGCAATTTCTTGCCCAAAGGTCTGGTGGGTATTTTTTTTTTTGTATTTTTAAAAATTTATTAGATTTTTTAAAAATACCAATCCAAGTTCCCACTCCCTCCCCTCCTCCCATTTCCTCTACACACCCTTCCACCCCACCCCCAACCAATCCTCAGAGGGGGGTAAGGCACATTGCTTTGTGGAAGGTCCAAAGCCTCCCTAAAATATCTAAGCTGAGCAAGGTATATATCCAAAGAGAATAGGTTCCCAAAAAGCCAGTACATGCAGTAGAGATAAATCCTGGTGCCACTCCCAGTGGCCCCTCAGTCTGCCCCAGCCATGCAACTGTCAACCACATTCAGAGGGACTAGTTTGGTCCCATGCTAGTTCCTTCCCAGTGGAGT